CTGTCTGAAACTTTGATCTCTCTCCCTATATGTGTTTATTTCTCTGCTATAGTGAGTATTTCCTGTATTGTTGATAGCTATCCAGACTGAGGAAAGCCAAAACAGAATGCATCTGTTACCTGAGTTTCCACCTCTCCCACCCATTCTCTTTGACTTGTTTTCTATTTTCCTGCTCCGGTTTATCTAGCCCTGATCCTTACCCTTAGCTCTTCCTTTATTTTTCCCTGCAGCTTCATACCCACAATATTAATTAATGCTGTTAACAGGAAAACATTGATTAAGTACTGGAGGGCTGGGGGGATACCAAGAATGATAAGATGCATACAATACTTTTAACATGCTTAGACTCTCTTAGAGTCAGGTATGGTGGTGTGTGCCTGTAATCTCAGCTACTTGGGAGGCTGAGACAGGGGTCATGAGTTTGAAGCCAGTCTGGACAAATAGCAAAACTCCCATCTGAAAAACAAAAATGAAATATGAAACCTACCAGCAAGAAAAAACTCCAAACCTCATCCATTAGAAATACAAGATATACTCACAAGTAATTAATTTTTAACACACATTGCTTCTGAGCACAAAACAATGTATGATTACATATGAGTGTTATGGAGATTTTGAAAATATATACAAATAGAAGGTTCATAGATGTATAGTTTTACCCTTAGAATGTACAGGATTGGGTATTGAGATAGAGCTATCTATTTATCAATCAGTCTGTCAATCAATCAATCTATCATTTTTCTTTTCTTTTGTCATTTAACTTTTTGAGACAAGGTCTTGCTATGTAGCAGGCTGGTCTCACAGGCTACTCTCGTGCCTTAGCCTCCCAAGTCCCGAGACTACAGGCATGCACCATCATGGCCAGTTGTGTATATTTTCTTGTAGTGTTTCTGTTTTCATTCTGTTATATCCATTGAATAACTAGGTTTCAAGGTATTATATGGGAACTATAGATATTGTATGAATAAGATTTACTGTATGTCAGTGGAGAGCAGTAATTCATGGGGTTGATCATGCCGTCTGTCTCCCAGCGTGCCGGGGATCTGGTAGGCTGGATAAACTCCTCAGAGCTGGAGATGATGAGACAGGGGTACTCTTCAAGGAAAGACATAGAAAGGACAGTGATGCAAAGTATGCAGCATGACAGAATGAAGGTGCAGGGGGTATTCCAACCACTCCAATTCATCTAGAGCTGTTGTGCTCAGCCTTAGTTGAAAAAAGAAAAGGAAGAAAAAAAAAAAGAATGAAAGCAAAACACAGAAAAGAAATAAATCCTAGTGACCAGTATTTCCTAGAACTAGGACTTAGTTGGATGAGAATCTTTGAGCCCAGACATTTGTGTGTTTAAAAAGCTCTTGATAGGTAGTCAGCCAGCGCTAGGAGGAAAAGCACTACACATAAGCCTAGAGGAGACACAGGATGGAAGAGAGCTAGAGAAGGAACTCAGGGTGGAATTTGCACTGGCTTTGATTTAATAGACCGTGTGCAACCATTTGGCACCGCATGGAATGACCCAAGAGGAATTTTAGGGATTTCATTCTGTGGGAAAGAGAGGATGAGTTGGTGGCGCCAGCCTGTGCAAAGCCACCAAGAGCACCAGAAGAGCATGGGCTGGCAGCGAGGTGGCATGGTAGCCTGCCTGCTGGCTGTGGGGCTGGGCGTGGGCAAGGATGTGAATGAATTCTTTTGACTCCAGAAGACCTTGAAAGATTTAATTTTGTTTTTAATCAGCTAGATGGAGGGTGAAATACAATCTTATTCAGAGAAAAAATGAGTGTAGCTGATGGTGGACTTGCTGGGACAGCGTGGTCAGGGCCAGTGTAAAGTGCTCTGCATGGGGGACCGTGTGACCTAAGAAGGAAGAGGAAGCATGGAAAAAGCTTGACTCTGTGAAACAAATGAGTCTGACATTTCTTGGCATATGCAGTGTATGCAATTACAACAGATAAAACTTGCTTTTCCTGCTTGGAAAGATCAATCTAAGCGCTGTGTGTGTGTGTTTTTCTCCTGAAGGTGATGGCAGTTTTGGATCAGTCTATCGAGCAGCCTATGAAGGAGAGGAAGTGGCTGTGAAGATTTTTAATAAACATACATCACTCAGGCTATTGAGACAAGTAAGCAATCCAACAACATTATCCTATCAAATTGTTACTGGTGAGGCACTCAGGGGGTTTCTTCCCCAGTCCTTGGTGCCCTGAACAAAGACTTGGACAAGTCGCACAGAAAAAGCAGTCAGGGTGCAGATTTATGAAAGGTGGAAAACAAAGTATGCCTTGTAGGGCAGAAGGTTCACAGCAGCCCCAGAGATAAAGTGAAGCAGGAGGTTGTGGGGGATCTGAATAGGGACACTCAGACACAGAGGAGGAGCAAGGGCGGGTACTGCCGGCATCCCTCCAGGACTTATGTCCGCCCAGGGCTGGCCAGCTTTACCCCAGGAGGTGGTCTCCTCTCTCAAAAGGAGAAGGAGCCTTTCCTATCCAGAATATCTGATTTGTGTCCTACCTCATGTAAAAATGGCATCAGGACAGTCATCCTTTCAAAAACTCACTTGGCCATTCACATCGGATATACAGTGCCATATTGAAAAGGTTGTTTGGTTTCTTGATCTAATATAAACAAAAAGATCCGGGCAGTGTCTTTTGATTGGTTGCGATTATATGTAAATGAATTAAAAATAGCGTCTTCTAATTGGTCTGGTGCACAGTGCCAGTGGCCAATGGAAGACTAGAAATCATGCTTTTTCCAATTCCTCCCTTGCTCGGTGCTCAGAGCCCTCAGCGTGGAGTCATTGAGGGTCTCGGGGTCACCGCATGCTTTCTCTTTTTAGGTACCTTACTCTGTTGGTTAGTTGTGGGTTTTCATGACTTCTCACACATTCCATCCAGTTGGTTATCCAGCTTGCATCAGCCCTGAATCCTTACCTCAAAATGATACAGTATTAATTTCCTAGAACTCTTTGTTGTTTTCGTGCAATTGTGAAAATGCAGAATAATGACATTTCTCTCAAAATTTAATTGTAAATCTTCATTCTGTCTTTAATGGAGTAAAACCCTTCTCTCTGCTTAAAAACAAAGCAAAGTGAGCATTTGGACAATTCTAGTGGTTGTAATACTTAAGTCTGATCTAAATTTTCGGGGGAAGACTCACATTTCATCTTTTAGGGTATAATCTCTATGCTCAAAATGTGCACCATGGCTGAGAAGCCGCAGTGCTCTGTGAGGTGTAGACTAGCCTTGGACTTGTCAGGGCCTGTTTGCTGCTGCTGCTGCCCCCTTCTGGACCTGGAGCCCAGCAAGCGCCTCACTTCAGCTCCTGTTTTCTGAAGAATGTCTTTCATTTTTTTGACCCATAGACATAATTGGTTTTTGTTTTAGTATACCTAGCTTCAGTATTTTCAAAGCGAAAGGCACGTTTTAAAGTATGATTTCATGGAGCTAATTTGATCAGAAGTCAGAAATCTTAGGTTGAAACACTAATTAAGCTTATACCTTTTCTTTTTTCTTTTGAACATGTGAACATTAGAAATAATTTATTAATTATCTGTCACAAAAGATGGGCCAAGTTGGCATACTGACTGAGTTTTACAGTTGCCTTTCCTGTTTGTTTTCCAATTAAAAAAAATTTATAATCACTTATGTTAGTTTTCCTAACATAGTAGTAATTGTAACTTGAAATAATAAAACTTTTATTTTTCTAGTATACTAATTCTAGATCCCATGTAGTAGCTTATTGTTTTTGAGATGAAGAAAATTATCATTATTCTTTTTTGCCTCCTCTTTCCAACCCCTTCATAAATGCTAGTTTCTTTTATTATTTCTATGTGGATAAAGTTTATTACATTTATATTGTATTTTGTAACTATAATTACATTATTTGACTTTTGCATTTAGTTTAATTCTAAAGTAAAACCAATGAATGCCTCTTATGTTTCGTTTAACTTATTTGTACAAAACCAAAGTATTTCTACTCTTAGATAAGGAAAAGTAACCTTCTCTTAGTAGTTATTTCTTTTCTTTCTTTCTTTCTTTTTTTGTGGAACCAGGGATTGAACTCAGGCCCTTGCGCTTGCCAAGGAAGCACTTATTCCACTGAGCCATCTTCTCAACCCCCAGTAGTTATTTCTTTTTCCTTCTAGATTAAGAATATTTCAAATGTCAAAATTAAGGGGATTATTTATTATTGTGTATGGAAAATAGGGCCTTACTTTTTTGTTAATTAATTAATTTAATTAATTAAATTAAATTAAATTAAAACCTCATTTTAATTTAAACAGGACCTTATTTTAATTTGGATCACAATTATATCCTAATTTTTTAATGTGTCTTTTGAGTTAGACTTTCTGGTAATCTTTTATTTAACATCTTGAGATGAAAGATATACCCATCCATTGTGGCTTTGTTACTGTCTAAGTTCTTAGCCACATAGCTTGGATAATAGAATCAGTTTTCTTCTTTCTTCCTTTTTTCACTCCTGATTTCCTACTCTAAGAAGAGACAGCTTTTCAGCCTATTTACAGTTTCACAGATTTTTTTGTCTTTTTGAGACAGGGCCTCACTATGCAATTCAGACTGGCCTTCAGCCCACTTTGTAGCCCAGGCTGGTCTCGAACTTGCAGGGATCCTCCTGCTTCAGCCCCCTGAGTGCTGGGATTACAGGCGTGCGCCACCACACACGGCTTTCTCCTTGATAGTTTTTATATTCTGTGACTCTCTTAGCTGAACTGTCTTTACATTTTGTTGGAGACTATCTGCAAGGAATTTTTTTCAGAAAGAGTGCTTTAAAGTAATTTAAGGTTATGTTTTTAGTTCTTACATGTTAAAACTATCTGAATTTTGCTTTTGTCTTTGATGGATGGATATGCTATTGTAATTTTTAGACATCTAGGCTTAAAATAATTTTTCTTCAAACTTTGAAGAAAATACCATTGATTATTTTAGTACCAGCTGTTGCTAATGACTAGACTAATGTCAATCAAACACTTCTCATATAGGTTAACTTTTGTTTGGAAACTAAAAATTTTATCTTTTAGATCTCTCTTATCCTTGATACCCTGAAACTTCACAAATATGTTCATGAGTCACTTTCTTGATTTTGTTTTTTCAGACAGGGTCTCCCTGTGTGATCCAAGATAGCTTTAAACTCAAAGCAGTCTTCCTGCCTCAGCCTCCTGGGTGCTGGGATCACAGGCACCACCATGCCATGCTATGAACCCACTTTGTATTCCACCTTCTTCATTATAAGGGGAAATTCTCACCAGTGAATTTTATTATTTATTACTTCACAGCATTTATTAATCATTGGCTAGATTTTATTGAGCAGCTGCTATGTACAGGGTTAGGGGGTGAAACAATAGCACGCTAAACGAGTTGAAGTCCTGCTCTTCCCGTATCTAGCTACTGAAGATTAATTATTTTTTATCTTTTGTTTAGGAGTGTTCACTAGATATTGAGACCCCTGGGTCTTCTGAATTTCCTCTCAAAGCTCTGTCTATATACAGTTTCAGTGACTTACATGACTGTCTTACAGATTTGCACTTTATCAGCATGCCTCATTATTATTTAGCTTCTTACTGAATTTTATTTGGATAATCATGTTTTTAATTTCTAGCAATTTTTCCTTCCCCTGGTTGCTCCTTTGCAGCCATGTTGTTAGATGAGATATCATCCACAATTTCCCTTTATATCGGTTACAATTCAGTTACTTCAGTTATTTGCTTGACTGAGGTGCTCTGAGGTCAGCTGGTTTGTAACGAGTCTCTTATGCTTGCCAGGGAAGCGCTTATTCCACCATCTCTCCCGCCAACTTAGAGTATTTCTGATGACTCCCATATCTATGAATGGTCTGTAGTGGCTGAAGAGGTATTCTTTGCACCTTTGTAGTTCTCTTTGCCCCTTAGCACTCTCTGAAAAGGAGGAGAGACCATGAGCCCCTAAGGGGTGGGCATTATTTCTGACTACCTTCTATTTGGGTTACACAGGTGGGGACCTCCCCAGCCTGCTTACGCTGTGCTGACCACCTCTGGGGGTGCCAGGCCGTAGCCCTGCCTGTCTCCTTAGTGCAGCGTTGCGTTTCTCTCTTTAGTGCTGTGGGGAATTCTAGATATTTCCTGCTCTGTCCTGCATTTCTTCTAAGCTCAAAAATCTTCCACACTGAGTTTCATCTGATAAACTGCCTTCACTTTCCACCTTAAAATAATAAAAATCATGGGGCGCTCACTGTAGGGTGGATTTCATTCTGTGGTTCTGGCCAATGTCTTCTTGCCATTATGCTGTGCTATTGCTTTTATTCTGTCGGAATGGCTGTTATTGTAGTAACATAGGTTCCGGGCCTTAGAGTCACGTATCACAAGCACAGAAGACCAGAAAGTCTGTCATTTAAAACCTTGTATTCCAAAGCAACCAAAATTGAGCCTGTATCATTTTCTCCCCAAGCGCTTACGTTAAGAGCAGTGCTGTGGGCTGATTGGCTTGGAGTTGTGATAGGGAGCCAATCACAGTGGCAGGAGGGTGGAGTCACCTTCCTCCTGCGGTTTCGTTGGAGTCAGCCCCCTGGAGGACCACAGGCCACGTGGGTTCAGCACCTCAGCAAAGGTCAAGATGTTTTCAGGAAGAAAGGAGTGAGTCCACAACCAACAGTGCTCAGTACCTCAGTACTCCTTGTCCTGGGCTAGGATTTAGTCTTTTGTGTGTGTGTGTGTGTGTGTGTGTGTGTGTGTGTGTGTGTGTGTTTTCTGAGTCTCTGCTGACAGAAATAGGGTAAGGTGAGAAATAAGGTGAAAGGGAAAGTAGAAGTCAGTGCTCATTCCGCTTTTACCATAAACCAACTGTGTTTTGAACTCTGTTCTTCCCCACTTTTTTCCTTGATTTATAATCGAATGTAGAATTTTACTAACAGGTTAAAAAAAAAAAAAAAAAAAAATTCTTTGTGAGTTCAATCCCGGGTTTCGCAAAAAAAGAAAAAATAAAAAAATTATTTGTGATGGGCTCTAAGTAATCTTTGCAAACTTCAAACAATAGATAGCCATAATATTTCATCATTTTGAGTAATGAAAAATCTCATGAATACATGAAATATCCTGGGAAACTTTTGATTATTAGTAACAAAAGTCACATGGTAGTTCTAGAAATAAAGCGAGACATTTTGCATACTGAACTAGGTCTGTGAACGAAGTCTAGCACACTTTCAATCCATAAGCAGGTTGTTCTATAAACTGATTTTCTGCCCTTGCTGTTAATCTTCAGTGTATGCTTCCATTTTATGAAATGTGTTTGAGTAACTCTGATGGAGACCAAAACGCTAAAAATGTGTACAGAAGGGCTGGGAAGATAGCTCAGTGGTCTATGTGCCTGCTTGGCAAACACAAAGAACTGAGTTTGACCCTCAGTACTGCATGCCTTGCTGGCCCCAAACCAGGCGTGGTGGCGCATGCCTGTAATCCCAGTGCTGGGGAGGCTGAGACAGGAGGATCATTATGAATCTGAACTGCGTAGCGAGACCCTATACCAAATACATGAATAAATAAATAATTTTAGAAAAATGTGTGCAGAACTGCTATAGGGCAAGTGGGTAAACCAGGAAAATGGTCGAAGAAATAGAAAAAGTAGAATGTGCACAGTGTACTTCTTTTAAAAAAAGAAGAAAGAGAAAGAAGACCATTTTGGTGTTTGGTCCTGCATTTTTGCTCAGTCTACCGGTGACTGTGTATTTGTGAACATCTATAACACTCCCTGTGGCTTCCTTTCTGCAATCAGTGAATGGTTTTCCCATTATAGGATGTTTGATTAAGCATCCCACTCCCTGTAGAAGTAAACAGAACTAACTTGTTCTCAATGTTAACCGTGTGAGCTAATCAGGGATGGGGAAGGGTTTGTGGCTCCTAATCACCTGTACCTTCATCCGCAGCGTTGTTCTGGGGAGTCTCTCTCAGGCACTCGGCCCTCCCTCTTCAGCTACCTAGGTCTCCTCCACGCTTCTGTTTCCACACAAACGCTGTTGGCACCCATGCGTGGCATCTTGGAAGCCGGCCGTTAGAGAGGCAGGTCTTGCAGCAGTCACAGTCCGAATCATGAGTCGATTTCGTATCACAGACAGCTATCCATTTCCACTATAATTTCAGAATGAAGTAGAATATATAGACTAAAGCTCCAGCAGAATTCAGTCCCACCATGAAAGAAGCTACAGGTTCATGTAATGTGGTCTAGAAGGGTAGATTTCTGGAAATTGGCAAATTTCAACTAAATTATGCTTTTGCACTCCTGAGTAATATGCAGAGTCCAGTGCCTGTGGAATCCAAGCACTGTGGTGTCCTTAGGGAACCGCACAGCCTCATGCAAGGAGAGCAGAAGAAAGGGCAGTGTCCCGTGCAGACCTCTGTTCAAGCTGCAGTGCTGTCTCGACTTTGTGACGGCAGCTAAGGGGCTGCTTTAGGAGGGGGGACCATGGAGGAGCCCTTGAGGAAGGTCGGATATGAGGGGCAAGGAGTCTGTCGCAAGAAGGGGACAGGACTTGCTAGACAGTGGGGTCAGCAGAAGCAGCGATCCTGCAGCTGGGAGCTGCTAAACGTGTTCAGGGAGCTGAACAAATGCAAGTGTCAGCAGGGCTGTGAGTGTAGAGGAAGAAGGAATAAGAAGGGGCCTGTCTCCATCTCACCCCAGAAAGAATGACTGTCTTCAAGAAGTCAGCCAATAACAAATGCTGGTAGGGCTGAGGGGAAGAAGGAACCCTTCTCCAGTTAGTGAGGGTGCACACTGGAACAGCCACTGTGGAAATCAGTGTGGAGATTCCTCGAAAGCTAGGATTGGTGGTTTCACTTAACTTAGCTATTCACCTCCTGTGTATTTTTCCATAACTGAAAACATCATACCACAGCAATATATGTACACCTATGTTTAAAGCAGCACAATTGTCATAGCTAATTCTTGGAAACAACCCAAATGCCCACCAACTGAGGAATGGATAA